AGGCCAGATGTGGCCACATCATCTGATGGGTCAGACACAGGGGAGGCACTGGTCACATTAGCAGTGTGTTTCACCTTCTTTGAAAGCAATCATAATGACTTTTTTTTTTTTTTTTCCTAAAAGAAAAGCACACAAACAGAAACCAAAGTAAAAAGCATCTCAGAAATCACATTGAATTCAAAGACACTGCTGATACTACTTGTAGTTTTCTTAATCCCTCACCTAGAACCTGACTCACGTAAGCAAAGCACCATGCAGATGTGTCAGAGAAAAGCCAGCTGTTAATTTGGCTGATGTTAACTGGTATGCAAATCCTGCTCTGATTGCTACCTGCTCACCAGGTGTGAGTCCAGAGCTTTAAACACAGTCAAGATACCAGATTAGTTCCAGTCTCTCATAAAGATGCCCATATGCTATAGCTAATGTGCTATACAACTGGAGTTACATAAACCTGTATATCTCTCTTCCAGAACAGTCTGGTGAGAACATGACTGGTGAAGACCAGAGGATTGGCCAGCAGTTAAACTTCTTGTAGAAGAGTATTGTTTTTTTTTTTTTCTAATGAAACACTTTTTTTAAGGTGAAATGGATATTTTAGTAATTTCCCATGATCACAGATCTAGATTCTCCTCAAGTAAATCAAGTCCCTCCATCTTTTCTCCCTCAGACTTGTCATCTGCTTGAATGCAGACTGCGTGTGCCCCTCAGTGGTGCTGGCCATCCCCAGGCAGGCTCTGTCTCATGGACAATAAACACCAGCTCATCAGATCAGACACTTCTGATGACATCCATCTGAGGGACAATCTTCTCAGTAATCTTTCTCTGATAATGTCCCATGCTTTCATCTTAAAACTGCAAAGCATTTTATAAGCAGAAATCAGATTTCACAACACCCCTAAATTCAGTCAAGTATTATTAAACCACTTTCCAAAGCCCTCATCGCTGTCAGTTGAACAATTTTCCCCCGGCATTTTTTCACATTTCATCACAACAGTTACGCCTCATTGGAGAGTCTCTAAACATCCATTGAAGTAACAGCTATAACACTAAAGAAAAAGCATTTGATTCTGTTGCTTTCTTCGAAGAGACTGTGTCATCCATTACTGAATTACGGGTAAAAGCTTTCTCTAACATGGCTGTTGAACAGTTTGAAAACAATAATTTTATTTTCATTCTGAATCATCGGTCTCATGAGAGATGTTCTGCTGGCGTGCAAATACGGATTATACTAAAGTAGTGGTAGGAAAGAAACATTTCTCCTATCGGAATCAAGGTGAGTGTGACTCATGCACAATGGTTTGAAACAATGGCACGGTCATGGAGAAATGGAAGTTCTCTTTTTCTAAGAATATTCCCCCCCCTTATAATAGCTCAAAGACTTCAATAAGAATTTCTTACTGCTGTCAGTCCACTCCAAAAGGCTCTTTGTGAAAACTGTCAAAAAAAATATACAATTTTGATCTTTTTTCTCATGCCCTACCATACTAAAACAAGTTTTCCCACTGCATGCTAACAGCAGGAATTGTGCTGTATTCCTTTCCCAGACTCACTGTCTGCCTTGCTCATCCGGGCAGGGTCTGTGCATTACCTAACAGCAGCACATCTTATTCCTCTTTTCCCTTAGGTATTATAATACTTAGCCTGATTAACATTTTTTGCATGATTAGCATGCTAAAGAAGGAGGGCAGTTGTTGTTGTAGCATTCACATGGGTACAAATAAATCCATCCATTTAGTAGCCACAAGAAAACAAAACCTTTTCAGGATGTCTTTTTTCTTTTTCTCTACCTGTTTACCAAGAGAAGCTCAAATTAAAAAAAAAAAAAAAAGCACATGAATACCAATCCTTTTGCCTCCCTCCTACAATTTCAGTTTTTGCTCTCCTACTGCTGCCTAATTAACAGCTTCTGGTTATGCATTAAAATAAAACAACAGGCACTGATGCTAATTATGGACACTGCATTGCCAGGATAAAATAAGAACCTTTAAGAAGTAAGAAAGTTCTGTTAAAGACCAGCATCACTTGCTTTAGCGGTTTATATCTAAAAGTGCCAGATTTTGTCAACACAATTGAAAGGAATCACACAGAAAATACTTGGCAAGCTGCAAGTTCACACAGTAGCATTCAGCCTTTGGGATTGATGTAGCAGTCAAAAATAAAAGGAAAATGCAGCCACTGTTTGGTCCAGCTCAGCTACACCACTACACAAGGCAAGGTCTTCACCCAGACAGTTGCAGCTCAGGAGTTAAGTGCTTGCACAATTTGATCAACACACACAGTCTTTATATGACTGTTCCAAAGGATGCCCCAAGCCCAGATATGGGCCTCAGAGATGACAAGGTCTCCAGAGGCTGACACCAGCACGTGCCCACACTTTGGACACCATGAATGTGCTCCAGGGACGTCTCTGCAGCAGATGGGACAGGAACCAGGCAGACCTGGCCTCACTGTCCCGGTGATCACTCATGGAGAGGTGAGATGGCCAAAGCAAGTCTCTGCCTTGATTAATTTGCAGAGCCAGCTGCTCAAGGCTGTGTAAAAACCAGTGGCATAACACAAGTCTGCCCTCAGGTTTCCTGAAACCTGGGAGCACTACTCCCACATTTCTTCCCTGCTGTCAGCAAATATCATTTTATAAAAATAACAACCCACCCCTAAGTCAGAAGAATAAAGTTCCCTTCAATAACTGTAATTAAAATGTAAACATCCCCTCATTGTGGCTCCACCATGTAAGTCACACGAATAGCCCTCGCCAGTATTACATAGAGAATTCCATGCAAACATGCCAGGATTTTTGCAAAACACTGTCAGTCATATTCCAAGTCACCCAATATTTCATGATACATTTCTCTCTCTTGATAATACAACATGACAGCCACAACCAGGTAATTATTTTGCAATGGTGTCAGGTTTACTGCTTAACGGTGTGGAATGAAACAGCAATTGCTTTGTTCATTTTCTCTATACAGCATATTTAAATCAAAGTTTTATATGTTCTGCATCGTTATGTCCTCCCAGGGCTGGCAACAGCTGGAACCCAAAGAAGTGTTGAATCAGTGTTACGTTGCCCAGATTCCCAGCTGGCCGACAGTATCAGCACTCCTGAGAGTCCTTAAAATGGGAACTTTCCCAACCATGAATAGTTCCTAGTACTGATTTCCCTCCAAATGTGCAGTCTAGGATGCCCAATTCCTCACCTCTATGCAATGTGTTAGAATGCTTCTGCAATTAATTTTTTTAGTTTGTTGAGTCGGAGTTCTAACTTAATATTTTCTTTTGGAGGGAGGGGAGCTAAATTAAAGCAGAGCTAATTGCTTTTAAAAGTCCGTTTCACTTGAATCGAAGTGGAACATTTAATTTAATTTGGAAAGCATTGAAATTAAACGCTTTCCTAGGTTTTGTTCTTTACCCAAACAAAGCAAATGTTTGGAAATCCACCCAAAAGCTTCAGTGTTTCGGTTGTCCTCAAATTACAGTTTTGAACTGGGACAAGAAAATTCCCCAGTTCCAGGTCCCTCCATAGTAGTACTGCAACAGTAACACAGGCAAAGAGGCAGGTGCCCACAACCCCTCAGGGCTCCCTTTCAGAGCACGGTTAGAAGGTCGGTATGTCTGAACACGGGTGTTCAGGGTTACAGAGATTATTAGTTTGGGATTATTTTCCACAAGCAGTTTTGGTTTGGAGTCCTACACACTGTCGTTACTTGTGTTATGAGTTTTGTCAGCATGCAGCCATTACTCAGCTCTGATGAAATTGTATAAAATAAAGATCGTCTCAGTAAAGCTGATAAGAAATTAGAACCTTCCATGCTCAAAGACAACTAAAATCTTGCTCCAGGAGCAGATAAATAGGGCTGACAGTGCAATATGAAGTTATGCGCTTTAACCAAACTTTCCATCTAGAAATACTATTCACAAAGAGGAATATGTAGCAGATTGCTCCAAAAAAATCATAAAACAAGATGGCTGGCAAGCACTTATCTGAACAGCTTTTCCTCACAGTTTCCATTACTCTCTCTGGTTAGGCAAGAAAGAGCACAAGACAACACACTGCCTGGGAAAGCCTAAAGAACCTAACTCGTGTTTCTGAAGCAATTGTACAGATACAAGGCTGTCTGCCATTTTGTAAATGTCAATGCTTTTTCAAAGCTGTTGGTTTGGTTGCTGTTTGACTTCTTGAATTAATAAAATAAAACCAAAACATAACAAAAGTAAACTAAACTAAACAGAAAAAAGGGGTAGTAACTTACTTATTCCATTAACAGGGCAATTGCAGCAGAAGCTGAGATACTGTTATTTAAGATGTTAAATTTTGAAATTAAAATTCATGCAAATTGTATTAATTGTTAAAAAAAAGCAACAACAAAAAGCATATTTTTTCACTGAAATTCATTGCCACTTCTTCATGCTATTTCTGTCTGGCAGAGGGAGAAGCAGCGCGGGAAAGCAGAGTTGTGCTCACACCATTATTGTTCATTTTTGTGTTCTCACATGCATAAGGCAGAGTATAACCCAATGCTCTTGAGCAATAATCTGATTAAGGGAATACATCACATCCTCCCCTCTTTTTTTTTTTTTTTTTTTTTTTTTTGCATATTTGATTTTGAAAACCAAATGATGGATTATAAATTCACACCAGGGTTACAGAGTGCCTAGAGAGAGTGCGTGAATCCATTTTATGCCTCCTCCAGCAGCATGTTCTCTAGCAGCTAATGCTGCTGGTTGTCACTAACAACGCGAGCAATGGACTGAAGTTCACCTTCAGAGATCAGGTGACAGCACGGCCCCATGCCTTCAGGTGCAGTTTCTCCTTGTGCTACTTGCAAATATGAATTTCATGTCAAGCATTCACACTTCATTTTTTAATTGAATAAAGCAGGTTAAAAAGTTGTCAGTAGAAAGTAGCCTTTCCCATGTCCTTTTGAATTTTTCAAAAGCATTGTTTAAGTGCTTATGTGTTCTCCTCCCCACATTTTTTCCTTTTCTGCATCAATTCTTACCTGTAAAAGGTGGCAGAGAGGTGGTGGAAGAGGTAAGAGTAAAGAGGGCCACAGCCAACATCTCCAGTGATTTACAACTGGACATTTTGATTAGGCTGAAAACAAAGAAGAAAACAAAAGATAAAGTTATTTTTAATCCCTTCTGGAATAAACACACATTTCCAAAAGTCTGGCTGGCAAAAAACTCAGCAAGTCAATTCTCATCTAAAATCCTTCAGTCACTCACTATCATTCCGATTTGAGAACAGCAGTAGAAACTCAAGGTTGCCTGATGTATGAGTCTATTTTTGGCATTGCTCATTGTTGTTACAGACTATAAAGTGCAGAAGACCTCGGACTGAGACTTCCTTTCCTCCCTTTAATAACTGTATTATGTTGTCATCCAGCCTCACAGCAGGGATGCCAAAGTCTCCTTTGAATTACTGGCATGTCAGAAGCTCTGTTACCACATGCTGCTTTCCAAAGGAAAAATACCCTCCAAAACCCATCAAAGTGTATGTTTCCTTTGATGTGGACAACATTTCCAGACCCTTATTTCAGTGACAGATTAAGTCATTTGAGCAATGAACTCTGACATGAGTATTTATACCTCATTTCCTTTTTTTCTACACGCTTGTTCACTTTCTTCCCCATCAGTGTTGCTGATATTATCAAAATGTCTTGATGCATTAGAGAGCATCTTAGCCACTGAATACTGCTTCTTCTGGCCTCCCTCCCCAACAAAAAGTTCCTTCCAAAATATGCTATGAGAGAAGTGTGGCCAGGTTTGGCTCTGACTATGGAGAGGAGACAGCTGGGAGATGGGGAGCCAGGACAAAGTGTGCTCATCCATTGCTGGACTGAAAGCACATCTGTAAGTCACAGCCATTTATAATGAACTCTTGAAAAAATAAATCCTGGGCTTTCAGTTTCCTGGAGCTGTACCTCCCACAGCAAAATAGCAATGTGTTCTCTTTGCCAAAGTAAAAGCAAGTGGGATGCCTCCCTTTCTTGAACATACAGCAATGTGCAAAGAAAACTTTCCCTCTTTCCACATACAGAAATGACACCAAGATTCACAAGGACTGGAAAAATAGCTTCACTGTTTCTTCTATCATTTTTATATTCTCCAGGGAGTTGCTGTTAAAAATATTTTGCTTTTGAAGTTATCTGCATCGATTAGATGCAGACAAGCTGCTGACCACAAGGGCATGCACACTGATTCTGCCTGCTATCCACTCACTTTGCATTTGTTCCAAAAATGTGCAGCTTCAGAGCTCAACATTGGGTGAGTGGTTCATACAAATCCCAAATCTCCAAGCTGGATTCAGTCAAACTGTTCCCTTTCACCTTTCATATCACAAAGGTAAGGGAAAGCATATTACAAAGATAAGGGAATGCACAAGCCCGATGCACCAGGAGGCTGGTGAACTTTACTTTGAGATGACTCTATTTTACTTAGATCTGCTTAGGAATGACTTGTTTGAGATTTTTTTATTTAATAAACATTAAAGAGTGGTGATCGGATGCAGTGGTTCTTGCATACATTCATGTATTAGCATTTCCTGAAAAACTGTTTAGTGCTTTTCTGCCACTCAGCACTACAATTTAGAAAAGAAGGGATTCAAAAGACTAAAATTATCTTGACCATCTACCAGGTAACACCATTCACCTACCAATATCAGCAGAACGTTTTTCCCAATGATTTTTTTTTTAAGGGGAACAGAAATACCTGGAAACATTTTCTCACGAAATTCACTTTTCAGCCTCAGACTCAAGCACTGAGTTTGCTGCAAACCTCAAACCATACTGGAATCCAAGTTGTCACCTCAGATTGTGCTGCAAACACTTCTTGCTGCCTGATGCTGAACACAAATCCTGTTTCCAAAGCCCTGGTACTGCCCTGTGTTCTGTACCAACAGGACAGCCTGCCTCCCTCCAAGAGGCACCTGGTTATCAAGAAGCAGTCTCGGGCCTAGATGAAACACAGGGACTGGGCAGCCTTAGTGCTACAACTGGGAGGTTTTGGGGCAAGCTGCTTCACCACTCTCCTTTTCTCAATGGTAAAACAAGGTGAGCAAGCCTGAGCCTGAGCTCCTTCTGCAAAGAACTCCATTACAGCCATAAATTCAAGATTATCGACGCAAGAAAACAACTGGCTGGACTTCCTGAGTGCTCCAAGCTGTGAAATAAATATTTTGCTAACCTGAGGCTGAAATAATTCTCCTTACATCAAATATTTATTTGTTTCGAAGAAAGTAGTTTGTAAGATATTCTGGCTGCAGGGGAGAGGACAAGCTGCACAGCTTCACAGCCTCCTTCCTGCTGCCCTGCTCCCTTCTGGGCATGAGGCAGAGGCTGCCACGGCAAGCACTCGGCTCGGCAAGGCCTCTCACTGGGCTTGGGCCAATCTCCTGCTAGCAGCTGGATTAGCATGCAGAGAGCCCTGTCGCTGGCACAAGGAGCAGAGCTCAGCGCTGCCCTCCGCTCCCTGTGGCCATGAGGCCTCCCCTCAGCTCTGCTGCTCTGGGCTGAGCAAACCCAGGGGCCTCAGCGCTCCTCACACAACTTGTCCTCCAGATCCTTTCCCATCTTTGTAGCCCTCCCTTGGATATTCAGTAATAGGTTTATACCCTTTTTGTACTGTGGCACCCAGACAGCACGGAGAACTCAAGATGAGGCTGCACAGAGCAGCGTAGAGTGGGACAATCCCTTCCCTCACTTCCCTCTCTCACATGAAAGAGCGACCCATTCCCATCCCCTCACTGGGAACAGGGATGTGTCTGTGAATGCAGCTCCAAGCAAGAATTAAGCAGTCTTATTTCATCACAGCCTGCAGAAAACATACCTTCAAGCACTGGGCTGAAACATATGGCAAATGCTGAGCTGTGACAGCAGCGAGGTGTCTGGGAGAAGAGACATGACAAGCCTTACATCCATAAACAGCTCTGAAGCCATGCAGGCGTCGGTCAAAGCAAATCCTGCGTGCTTCGTCTGTTAGACTGCCCCATCCCGTGGTGTCAGTACAGCCCTTCCACACAGCACTGCCCCATCAGCAAATCCCCCAGCAAGAGGAGAAGAGGAATCTTCCTGCTGTGACCCTGCTGAGTGCTGACCTGCAGCCACACACAGCCTGCGCTCTGCAAGCACACGCTTCTTTCTGAAAACATGAAAGAAAATGGCTGAGGAAATGCCTTCTGTAAATGCACTAAACACGTAATTGCATTTGGCATATGGGGAATAAGAGAGGCTAAAATCAAAGGTCTACCAACTTTTCAGTACAGAGTGTACAAGTCCCATAGGCTGGGACTTGGCAGCATGATCACAAACAATAAATACATTTTCTGAATCTTTTATTCAATGCCCATTTTTCTATTATGAATATGCCAAATAAACCCAGCACTCTGCTGTTGAAGATGCTTTTCCCACCCTTGTGTAAGTGCGAAGAGCTGCCAGCCTGTATTTAGAGGTGCACTGCCGCAGGGCTTGCAGCTGACCCCTCAATGATTTTAACATAGCTTTAGTGGTGTGAAAACAGAGCTATGGGCTAAGGATGTCCTGTCAAAGGAAAAGAGCAATAAATTTTTCTCCAATACAGTATATGCATGCAGTGGCTAAATCTGACATATTTTTCCTCTGATTTTACAGTGCTGCCTTTGTTAAACTAACAAGCTGTTAAGTGGAAATAAACACACAGCTCATCTGTCTGTCTGTCCTGGGCTCTAAACCCAGCAGGGGGGTTCTCAGCCATGCTGGTACCTGCAGAAATCTGCCATGTAAAATGGTGGGTGGGAAGTAAGTGCAAAGGAAAGGCTTATGGCAGAAAAAGTTCCAGCAAATCACGTCCCAGACTCTGCTGGTACCCTTACCTCAGGCTATGTCTGTCCTCTGGAGGAAAATCCCTCAAAACTTGGATTTGGGCTTAGCCATGTGTAACTCCTTGCTTTTCTGCGTAAGGTCTGATTTTTGGGTTGCATTTTGTGGAGCCAGGGGTTGAACTCCATGATTCTTATGGGTCCATTCCAAATCAGGATATTCTATGATTCTATTATACATACACATCTTTCCCATTTACTGGCAGAGGGCTTTCTGTGGTGCTGTTTCTCTCATGCAGTGAGTTTTCCGGTTGCTACAGCTGTGAACAGCCAGAGAAGCAGGGCTCATAGGAACAGAGAAACGCACTTAGTGGTAGCTTAACACAGTGTTTTGAGTCAGTCTATTTTTCTGACCCCTAGATCTCAAAGGTTCTAGCACAAAGTTCAGATGTTGGACTTCAAGCCTAGATGTGAACATTTGGAATTCAGTAAATGGAAAATTTTTCTTCCAGGATGTGAGCAGGAGTAAATGCCTCAGTGCATTCAGCTGCTGAGAAAGCTGCAGTCAGTTTAAGATCATCATGTTTAAAACTGAAAAAAAAAAAACACAAAAAAACACAAAAAAAAACACCACCACCAAAAAAACAAAACAAAACAAAACAAAAAAAACAACCCCAAACTATCACAGAAAATAGGGTATGTAGCAGAACTTTACTTTCTCCCGATAATTTCTTTGATGTTTCTCCAGTAGGTGGGGTGGGACCTTTCTGTCCAAAATCCACCAGGAACTAAAATCATCTACAGGAGCTCTGCCTGAGACCTGGAGGTGTTTTTTGGCAGCAGAGTTGGGGCTGGGATGGATTTTCCCAGGGAAGTTCATATTGATGTTAAACACCTGAGCCAAACTCAGGGACTCTCTTGAAAGCAGTGACCAGAAGCTGCCAGAAGAGAGATTGCAGGAAGGCACATGAGGTACCTCATTACCCCCCCGAGAAAGGGGCAAGGGCTCCAACTCACCTGGCTGTAGCAGTCTGTGCTTTGGTTAGCTGGCAAAGCTTCTAATTACTCTTTTCTGATATAAATCAAAATGTGATTTTCAGCTCACAAAGAAAACAAATCTTAGAGCCTCAGGATGAGGTAGGAAGCATATTCATCTGACCCACAAAAACACCTTCTGCTGTACTGTATTGAGCTTGAAAAGCAAAATATTTTTCAGTGAACAGCAGCTTAGGGATAATTGCTTTATAATGCTACCTGCTCTACTTGGATACATTTTTCAGCTCATTTCCTTCTCCTGTGCC